GTCTTGAATGACCACAAGGAAAAATTGTTTGATGAAAATAAATTCAATTTTTTGTAAGAAATGTCATTTCATTATACTACCAATTTACAATGAGAACAACAAGTCTACGTATTCGATTAGGATTAGAGTAACAAAACACCACATGAAAACTCACATAAATGGGATTCGAATTTGGGTAATCATAGAAAATATTCCACTTAACAACTTTGGTATTGTTACTTAAGTTAGACAAAATTGTTTATATTATTTTATACCATTAGAACAACAAGTCTACGTATTCGATTACCAAGTAACTATAATTTTGTGTTATCCATAATAAATGGATTAGGATTAGAGTTATATATTAAAATTAAAGTTTGACTATCTCAATCTTATCAATCTTATAAAACTTGTAATATAGAGTGTATTTTATATTCAACTAATGTGAAGTTTGAGATGGTTTTTTAATGCGTTCAAGATATGATTTTTTTAGCATGTTTTATTCTTATTCATCTATTTTTTAAAAAATCTATAACATATATAAAGACAATACTTGGTTTTTGGTGTAGCTTTTTTTTATATCAAATCTACTCTTATTTTAAAATATATAACTTACACAATAACTTCCATTGAACTACTACTATCATCTTTCATATAACTCCCTACTAATAACTTCTCACATAACTTTCATGTAAAATTAATATTAAATAAAAATATATCAACTTCTATGTCATTTATCTATAATCTATAACAATATATAAAGACAAAACATCTTTTTGGTGTAGCCTATTTTCTTTCCTAGTTTGCATTTTAAAATTATTTATCTATAACAATATATAAAAACAAAACATCTTTTTGGTGTAGCCTATTTTCTTTCCTGTTTTATCCTTTAAAATTATTTAAAAGTTGTAGAAGTTATACAAATAAAAATTAACTACTTCCCCCATTTTATATTTGAATATTGTACACAAGTGAAATTAATTAGTTATTTGAAGAATTTTTTTTAATTTCTCATTAAAAACTATATTTAAATACACATACCACACATTCAAATATCCATAATTTTAATTAAAATAATCATAATCTATAACTATCTACAAAAGAAATAGGAAATTTTGCTCTTATATTTTTTTATTCCCATTTTAACCTTTAAAATAAATATAGTTTATATAATTTTAAAAATAAAATAAAAATAAATATATGCAACTTTTTCAAAAAGGAAACCGTCTAAAGTATATAACTATGAGTGTTGGTTTTTTTTTAACTCTTTTGTTAACTGCAAAATTTTAAAATTATTATTTATCCTCTAATATTTTATATTTGTTTTAATTTTAAAAATATAAGTTATAAGTAAAAAGTGGATTTAAAATGTTGAACAATTATCATGATGTATTAAAAATATGATTATAAGTGTCAATTTTTTATGTCAAATTATTATTATTGTTATAACTTCTATAATATATTTGTACAATTTAGATATCCACGCATGAATATAGTTATTTTGTTTTATATTTTAATTATTGTCTGGTGAATCCCTATTATAATTAGTTCATATATTGAAATACAAGTATTATAGAAATAAAATAGTCCGATTGGATAATAAATATAATTAAAGTTCCCTCACATATAATTATTATTTGTGTTCCTATAATCCTAATTAGCAACTTATATAAAATAATTTTGGACACAAAATTATCCGTGTAGCAAGACATATAAGAATTCACTTATTAATAGTAATTTTAAAATAGTAATTCACGGATAGGTTATATAAGTACAATATCATAACTATGTCATAATAGATTATTATATACTTTAAGGAAGATTAGTAATTTATATGATACTCTATTAGATGTATTATATCTTATATAAGTATATTAGGTATTTAATATAATAATCTTTAATATGATTAAACTTCTATAATTATTTGTAAATGTGATTGTTTCAAATTTATTATATAATTTTGATGATCTGTTCTGACCTATTAACGTTAAATAATTTTGGTGTAGTTTTTTTACTTCCAATTTTATTTCTAATAAATTGATTCTTTTACACTATTTTTTTACTGATAGATTAGTAAGTTATTATTCCTCATCTTTAGTAATAAATAATTTATTAATTAAATAAGAAATGATAATAAAAAAGTAGTAGTAACTTCTAAAAATAATTAACTGTTTTATAACTCATTAATACCATTACTGAATGAAATAGAAGCATATAACAACTTCCGTACTTAATTAAATTAATTAAATAAGAAATAATAATAAAAAAGTAGTAGTAACTTCTAAAAATAATTAACTGCTTTATAACCCACTAATCTCATTATTGAATGATGAAATAGAAGCATATAACAACTTCCGTATTCAACTAATATTATTATATTTAATTATATATTTAATTGATTTAATTTTGAAGATTTATAATGTATTTTATTTATGACTAAATTTATCCAAAATATTTTCTTAATAAAACTGAATGATAATGCTTATAAAGTCTGTATACTCTAAGTTTTGATAAATTATATACTTAAAAAAGTGAATTATAATTGCCTAAAAAAATTCATTGGAGTTCTTAAAACTCAATTTTTAAAAATATGATTAACCAATATTTTATTTTATTTTAAAATTTTTTTTTAAATAAATTATAAAATAATTTTAAAATATTGAAAAATCTCAGTCAAATCTAACCGTCTATTACTTTAAATCCAACGATAGAGGATAAACAGTTTCCTCATTTCCCGCTTAGAATGATATATAAATATGTCTTTCATCTTCTACTTTTTCACATTCAAAATGCAAAAGAATAAAAAGTTTCTCAAAATTTCTTACAAAAATGACAAGTTGTGGAAAGGGTATTAAGGGGCTCGGAAAGGGAAGAACAAAGAGGCACATGATAATTATGCGCGACAATATTTGGGGAATTACAAAGCCATCGATTCGTAGATTGGTTAGAGGAGAGGAGGTGCCAAGAGGATAAGTGGTTTGATCTATGAAGATACTATGTTATTTTTTAAGGTTTTTTTGACAAAAATTATTCATGATACTGCTTCATATACTAATCATGCAAAAAGAAATGTTGTGACTGCCATGGATGTTGTATATACTCTTAAGAGACAAAGAAGAAATTTATATGGTTTCGGAGGTTGAAGAAGATACTTTTATTTATTTATTTATTATTATGTTATATTTTTATCGTCTAAGTTGTTTAATTTGTATTTATGTTTCTGCATTTTAAAAAAAGTTTATATCTAAATAATAGTCGATGATTATACAATGATCACCGTCTAAGCTATGTAATTTGTATTTGTATTTTCAAAAATGTTTATTTTCAAGTATTAGTTGGTGATTATGCAATGATAATGACTAAATACTACAATATGTTTTTTCTATTGTATGGTTTATGGACAAAATTACACTATATATGCATTATATTAAATTTATGATGATTTTAGTTAAGTTAAATCTAATTTTTATAATTATAAATAACCTGAATATGAGTCGTTGGTTATTTTTGTTCTTTAACCATCATTAACTTCCATTAAAAAAAACTTATGGAAAATTTAACACATATAACTCTTCTTTGCATGGTGATTTTTTCTTGCAATTTTTAAAGAATTTTGAAGAGTGTTTGCTGGTGATCGTACATAGAAAATAGATTAATTAATTTTTTTCAGTATAGTTTGTTAAAAATGAATTTACACATATGTATGTATTTTAATTGATGACTGGTTTTGTTAAGTTACATTTATAATTATTTTGGTGTATTATCCATAAGGTTTTGTCTTATTTAGAAGTTATGCATAAAAAATATTGTTGTTAGATTTCAAATTATTTTCCTTTTCAAGATGATTTTTCACCATTGACATAGGGATTGTTATTCAACTGTTTTTGAATTAATTTATTGAAGGAGGTATTATTATTATTATTAGAATTTAATTGGTATGCACTAAACAATGCAAACTTTAAAAACCGCTCTATTATGCATGTTGTGTCACATATTGATTTTTTTAGGGATAATAAAGAGGATGACATATTACACTATATTATTTTAAAATAAACTATACTTTTACAAAGTCACACTTGGCGTGCACTCACTATATTACATTATATTATTTACTACTAAAATTTACTTCATTTATTTTGCAGTAAAACAAAATATATTTTTTATTTCGATTTCATGGTTGATATTCCTATTAAGCAACAATGTCACTTAATGTCTCTGTTAATGTTTATGTTATTAGTTTAATAAATGTGAAAAACATTTTTTTTTCTTATTTTATTTAAATCTTCGTATGATTTTGTACAATCTATAACAATACAAAAATACAAAACTTAATTTTGGTGTAATCTATTTTCTTTTTCTTTAATACAGTATTTATAACCATCAAATTATTCCTTTCACATTATTGATTTTCTTGAAAAAAATCGGTTAAATATAATCATGTCATAATGCGGTTTTTTCAATTCAAACAAAATTTAACACACAAATATTACATATTGCAAATAAAACTTATGATGCATCTAAATAAATACAATATATTTCATCATATAAATATTTGATATTAAAATCAAACTTATAAAAAATGCATTGTTAATATTTTCACGTGTTAGCGCAGTAAAAAAAACGGACAAACGGGCACGGAGTGCCCGTTTGGACGCTAGTTTTTTATAAAATCAAATATGTATAACTATCAAGTTGTTATTTATTAGATTACTGAAAAAAAAAAAAGATGCATTTTATTTTCGATAACTAACAAATAAAAACTCTATAATTAAGTGTGTTTAATTTGAGGTTTTTTGGTTAGACTTTTAAAAACATTTTATTAGAATTTAAAGTATAAGGAGTTCCTTAATATTATTTGTTAAGACAATGTCTAGTGAGTCTCTGAACCCAAGTTGTAAAACTTTTTATAAATAAAATAAAATAAAGCATAGATATTGTGAGTTTGTAAGAGAAGAGAACACATATAAATACTGTCGAAGTGTGTGCACAGGTCTCCTCAAGCCTGAAGCACAAAAAACAAGATGGTAGAACAAGAAATAAGCAGAAAAGGGCCATGGACAGAACAAGAGGATTACAAACTAGCCTATTTTGTTGGGTTATTTGGTGATCGTAGATGGGATTTTATAGCAAAGGTTTCAGGTTTGGAAGGTGGCGGGAGAGAGTAATAGATAGGTATGCTTAAAAGGGCATGCTGAAATTATAAAAGAAACATTAATTCCTTTAACCAGGTTTTTCTTGTTTCTCACACTTTATTGTAGGTTTGAGTAGATCAGGTAAAAGTTGCAGGTTACGTTGGGTTAACTACCTTCACCCTGATCTCAAACGTGGCAAGATGACTCCTCATGAAGAATCTCTTGTTATGGACCTTCACTCTAAATGGGGAAATAGGTTTGACAAATCACCTCTTCTTTCACCATATTCACTCTTTCGCGTCTCTCTGCTTCTCTCAAAGTCTCAGGTTCAAAGTCCCTGGTTCTAAAGCTGCTGCAAGCTTAACAGCTTTAGAACCGGTTTTATTTTAGAATAGGAGTATCTTTTTCTCAATGTCTCAGGTTCTACGGTGGCGGTAGATTAAGAAGTAGCTTTTATATCTAATTTATATGTATTTTCTTATGAATTTCTTTGGTTATTCAAGTATAATTGATTATCAATTACAGATGGTCAAGAATTGCTAGAAAACTACCGGGAAGAACGGATAATGAGATTAAAAATTATTGGAGGACACACATGAGAAAAAAGAGAGCACAAGAGAAAAAACACGCAGCAACAACAACAGCACCTTCAATTTCATCATCACCTGATCAATCTTCTAGTTGTCAATCATCTCTGTTTTCTAACAACAATCACGCTTCAAACAAAGAGACCGAAGAAGAAGAAGAGAATTACCAAGTTCAAGAAATTGAGCAGAGTTACTCAATGGATGATATATGGAGAGATATTGCTATGTCAGAAGAAGATGACATAAACATTCTTCAACAAACTGTTTATGATGGAACTAGTGAAGAGAATTGCAACAATAACTTTTGTTCCTCTATAATGCCTTCTGCATCATCATCTTCATGGAATTTTTCTAATTTAGATCCTTTGTGGGTTATGGAGGAAGATGAAAGCAAGATGTTTGTCCCTCCTATTCATGAACAATGTTTCTCCTTTTATGATCAACAAGGGAACACTTTTCTAGCCGGTTAATCAAGATTATTCTTTTTTTCGAGAACGTGTTCATATGTGTTATATGTCGTAAGGTATAGTCTAATTAACATGTATAGTATAATGTTCCGTAAGTACCACTCTGATACTAAAAATTGCAACATATTGATATGTTGGGGCGAGAGTTCGATCTTGTAACTCTTTACTTCTCTCCATGTACTATGTAATGTGTTTGAGTTTTGTCGATGGTCTCGTTGAAATTTAAAAATAAAAACTTGTATATAATATATCTTATGGAAACGGATTTGACCATGTGATATAAATCAACGACAAAATCAACTGATTTTGTCATTATGGACTCTGGGTCGTCTAATCTAAAATTATCGGTCGAGATAGTAAATTGCAACATGGAATCCGGATCCATATCTTTCAAAGGCTCAAGCATGGTTGTGCATGATGTGACAGAGGTGTAACCATTATAAGATGAAGATATCAATGTTTGTGGTTTTACTTTCAAGAAATGTTCCAATGTGAAAGTGGTATGTTTTGTTTGAATGTAAAATATCAAGCACTTGTTAGATTTTGTTTCAATCTGATTTGGATGCCTATCATTATAGCACTTCATTCTATTGTTTATTAGCAGCCACTAACTAATGCGTGAATAATCTATGTAATAAACTTTTCAATTAGAATAGAATAAGATGCACAACATATAGGTCAAGCTTAAAGTAACTGATCATCCATCACACGTGTTGAGAGCTAGTGGAAAAGACTTAAGTTCCATAATAATAATAAAAACCTTAGATTTTATTTTTAGGCATCAATGAGTTGTTCAAATCTAATATTCCATCTAATGTGAAACTTTAGTTCACATATTACAAAAACTATCATGGCCTTAGTCTCCTATTTAAATTATTATGTATATTTTTTCTGTTTTAAAATTAGTCAAGGGACTAAACAAAAACATGTTTAATCAAACGGTAATTAAAGTGCTTTTTAACAATAAGTTAGTTTTGGATTTTATAACATTTTAGGTTAATAAGGATGAAACTTCTCATAACAACAGTTGTTCAATTGAAGTAAAGAAATTAGTTTCAAAATTCTAGCAAAATATGAATTTGGTAGCTTTCATCTAACCAAATATTTTTGTAATAAAAGTATGAGAAAAAATTAAATTTCATTTTAAACTCTAACTTCAACCAAAATACATATCAGAGCGAGAATTTGCCAGACATTTAAATTGTTAACTGAGCTTCACTAGCCACCATTTACTATTGAAATATATTACAACTAAATAATTTTAGAGGATTCAAGGGAAATAAAAACAAATGCTAAAAAAAATGAGAACTATACCAAACCAACTATAAAACTAAATATATTATTGTAATTCATCTGATTTTTAGTTGTAAATTCATCTGGATTCTACATTGGTGCCAGACTTATGTGATCTGTAAGCAAATGGCTCCTCCGGATACTTATTCTAGTCAAAATGATACTTATTATTGTTGAGTGAAAACCAAGTAATTTAAGTGTTAATAACCCGTTAACACGAGAGTGTAACCGGTTACAGTTGGAAGAAAAACACTTCTAAAAAAACAATTTTGAAGTTGTGTTAACTGATTTATTAGATGTCTTAACCGGTTACACATGATTATATATATTTTAATGTTATCAACTATAACTGGTTAACAGTTTGTGTTAACCGGTTACCACCATGAATTTTTGCTTTTTCTTTTATTTCGTTGATGTGCTTTAGGTTCCAATTATTTTGTAACACTTGTATAAATACCTTGGAGGCATCATCATCTTTGGTTAATGCAATATTCACTTCCCGCCTTTAATCATCTCTCTCTCTCTCTCTCTCTCTCTCTCTCTCTCTCTCTCTCTCTCTCTCTCTCTCTCTCTCTCTCTCTCTCTCTCTCTCTCTCTCTCTCAATTTTTCTCTTTCACTCTCCACATTCCAATTCTCCCTATTAATATCACCAATCTTGTTCAATGTTCCAAAATTTTCCATCAAGAGTCTTGTTCTAATCCACAAACACCCAATGTGCAACATGAATTATATTTTCAATGAGAATCCATACCAACCTACCTATCTTTGATGTGAAGAATTACGAAAAATAGTGGAAGCAAATGAAGGTGTTGTTTGGCTACCAAGATGCTCTTAAAGTGATCGAGAATAGGGTGAATCCTCATGTCGAAGGTGTAACGGCTACATAGCAAGCAACGCATAAGGAAGAGAAGAAGAAAGATTTCAAGCTACTGTTTTTTATCCATCAATGTGCTGTGGTGACAACTTTGATAAAGTTAATGATTGTGAATCGTTAAAGCAAGTGTGGGAGATCTTAGAGAAGGTCTATGTGTAGGTTGACAAGGCAAAGGTGGTGAGGTTACAAACTCGCAAGCGTCAACTCGAATTGATTCAAATGGAAGAAAAAGAGACAATCATCGATTTAACAATGAGAATTACTCAGTTGGTGAATCAAGTGAAGGCATGCGGAAAAACTATAATGGAGCAGTATGTTGTCGCAAAAATCTTGTATTCTTTAACACCAGAATGTGATAATGTAATTGTGGCAATTGATAAATTGAAAGATCTTGCGACAACGAGTAAAGAGGAGTTGCAAATCTCTCTTGAGGCTCATGAACAAAGGATGGAGAAGAGAAATAATGATAAGGCAAAGACGGAGATCCTTTTGCAAGCTCACTTCAACGATAAGGACAAGAGATCGAAAGGAAAATGTGAATGAGTGAGAAACACAAGAAAATGATGTTTGAATTGGATTTCACCAAATTTGATCTTTGCTCTAAATTCAAGGTTCAATGTTAACAAGAGAATAAAAATAAATGAACACGATCATTTTTATCCTAGTTCACTGTTAACAAAGTTACTCCAATCCATCCACCAAGGTGATTTTGCCTTAGACAAAGACTTAATCAAATAATCTAGAAAGATTACAATCTCTAAGTGTTAGAAAACAACTTAGCCCTCTCAAATATCCAGACTAACGACTTAGTCACTTGAGGAATCTCCACTTTGAAAAGTGTTACAAATGTGTGTACAAGAGATGCTTCTAAACAAGTTGATGACACAAATTGAAGTACAATAACACAAAAGTGCTTTCTAGCTAAATATGAACAAAAGTTCCTTGCTTAAAAGCTTCTTTTAATGTTTCTCTCATTTTCTTGTAGAGCAACGCTCTATCTTTGTTTGAGCTACAAGCATCTTCTTCTTGAGCTTACAGTTTGGTGTTTTGCTTCCGTTTTGCACACATACTCTCGTGTTTTCTTCAGCTCTCTCTTTTCTTCTTTTGAATGAGCTCACATTTCTTCTTCTTGGCTCTTCTAGCTCTCAGCACATCATCTCTCTTTATTTGTCATCGCTCGTCAATGCTCATTACTACACATCATCTTTTTCAAGCATTCAAATCTTCAATATATAGAGCTTAAAAATAGATATGTTGGAGGGTATAATAGGAAACAAATTCCAACTGTAATTTCCCAACATTCACTTGAAGTAATGGTCACATCATAATACAAAAGGATGTCATTGCGCCACCTTATCGAGGTAGAGGTCACAGACAATTTTGTACTTTTGTATTCAGCATATTATCCAACCATTCTTGATCTTCTGTTTTCTAGTTCTTCAGAGGCTTCATATGTATATTTGATGAAGCGTGTTGTAGAGAGATCAATACTTGTAACTTCAGAATCTAAGTCTTCAGAGTCTCAGATTTGTGTTCAGCAGAACCTTATCTTAAAAGTCTTCAGCACTCGGTCTTTAGAAGTGATGTCTTCAGAAACCTCAGATCTTGTTCAACAGGCCCTCGTTTTTAGAATCTTCAGAACTTGTTCAACACATTCTTGTCTTCAGAGTCTTCAGAGCTTCGTTCAACAGAACCTTGTCTTTAGAATCTCCAGAACTTTGTTACAATAGAGATGATGTCTTTAGAAACTTCAGAACTCGTTCAACAAAACCTTGTCTTTAGATTCTTCAGAACTTGTTCAGGACATACTTTTCTTTAGAGTCTTCAGAACTTCGTTCAACAGAACCTTGTCTTCAGAAACTTTAGAACTTTGTTGCAATAGGAATGATGTCTTTAGATTCTTCAGAACTCGTTTAGCAGAACCTCATCTTTAGAATATTCAGAACTTAAAGCATTTAAAAGCATATATCTTAGAATGCCTTCGAGGATTTACACACAAAGTCATGATCAGAAGCTCTAGTACTAACGTTCTTCAGAACCATTTCATTAGGAGCATTCTTGAAACTAGACTTTAACAAGGAATGCCATATGTTTTCTTCCAGAGTGTTTAGATTAGAGTATGATTACGTCACATGCCTTTCTATCAGAGTCATAGCCTATTTATAAAAATCTACACACTAGACAGAAACTATAGAGTACCGAACTGTTCTCTAAGATAACATGTGCAATTATCATCATAACTTAAGGCCAGATGCAGAACCAATCTTGTCCTTACAAAATGGTCCATGAAATGCAAAGGGAATTTTCATAATTTTAATGGAAGAGAGTCCTAAAAAGTCCAAGAATTCGACTTGTTAAAGGGGTGAGAGCAGCTACAACAAAAATGGTGGTCAAGGTAACTTTAGGGGTGAAAATAAGAGGTTTGACAAAAGCAAATAACAGTACTTTAAGTGTCAATGGTTTGGCCATTTTGCAAGAGACTGCAATGCGAATAAGAAGGAACCTCAAGGAGATGAAACCAAGGTTACAAGACAAGAGTTTGATGGATAGAATACACTCTTGGTCATGATCACGACAAGAGTTTGATGGATAGAATACACTCTTGGTCATGATCACGGAAGGAGAATGCAGCAACAGCAGCAACAATTTAAGGAATTAGGCAAAATTGAGTAATAACGGGTTACATGATATGGTTAACCGGTTATATGATGAAGAAAATGTCGTGATGAGTATGAAAGGAGTTCAATGCAACGAGAAATGATACTTGAACTCGGGATGTTCTATTCATATGACAGGGAGGAAGGATTGGTTTGTTAAAATCAATTGTGCCATGAA